GGAAGAGCCTTGGAATACAGCCTTTGCTTCTCCAGATTGCGAAGTCACAGCTGCGATGGCTTGGGCATGTGTTGCGAATGCTTCATAAAAGGAAGGCTGTGCAACCTTTCTTGGGAATTTGACCGGCAAAAAGCCCAGGGAAAGGCCAAGATTAACTTGGTGCAAGTATATGGAAGGAGTCTGTTCCAGACTCAAGCTGTTTTCTGCCGAAAGTCAGACTCTGATACACGATCGGGAAGGTTGGAAGCTCTGTCTGAAGCGTCTGCCTGTGCGACCCAAAAGGAGAAGCGGTCACGGAAGATGAAGATGATTATGTGCGTACCTGTTCCCTTTCTGCGTTAGTGAGACTTATATGCGTACTTTCAACTTGCCTATTCTGACTAACCCAATTTTTTACTTCTTAACCTGCTACGCCCTTCCTATTTGCATATGTCTGTACTTCTGAGCCTGGATCCAAGGATCGGACTCAACCATTGTTGACAAAGAGGTCGGCTTTCAATGGAATCAGTAGGATTACCACTAATGGTAGGGATGATGGCGTTTGCTGTGTCAACTCGATAGACAAGTGTACTGCGTTAATTTAGAGAACTTTCTGCCAATGTAGTTTCGCACACATAGTGTAGTAAGGTACTTGCCGGGTTGTAAATTGCAAGCAATCCCGTAAATGCTGGTCCGTATTGAATGTCATGCAGTACGAGTGTTTTTCCAATCTTTGCAAATGCCCTTGAAGGCTCGCAGGATCCCTGCAGGTACGTTGAGTACGTAACGGTGATTATGAGTTGATGAACTATTCTTTGGCTCCTGAAGTAAATCTGTCTGAGTGAAAAAAAAATTAGTTGAATGACTACAAACCTAAATGGACAGATCGGTAATAAGCCTCTAAGCTTTAAACAAAAGCATAAATCTGCTCAAAACTGTTCCCTTGCAGAAACGCCTTCCTTAGTGCAGGTGCATTCGAGAACAACATAAATCTGAGCAATCTTCAATTGCTGTCAACGAGCAATATGAACCTATTGTTGAGGTAGGAAATGAGGTATTGTCTAAGCCATAAATGCCATATGAAACAATCAGACACCTCAAATTGTTGCTGTTCTACTATTCAAATATGTTTAGACCAAGATTTGTTCATTTGTAGGTCGTGTTTAATTGTAGTAATCTCTAAAGTCGATCGAGAGGAAGCGCAACCTCAATGAGCAGGCATCTGACAGCAAACTATTTGTAAGCACTTTTCATTGCCAAAGAGTTGTGATCCTTTTCTTTGGTTGTCTGCATTGAAGCACAACAAAGTGCGTGCCTTAGGGCAAAAATTAGCAATTAACGAGATAACTGTACATTGCACGTTATTGACATTCACTTCAGCAGCAGTTAAAGCATCAAGAAGAACCATACTGATTGCTTCTATAGCCCCCCCCCACTCTCCAACGTTGAAATGAACGGAAAACGATGTACTCACTTCAGTAGCGCATTTCTTAAAATTTGCCCGGCGTAACGGTTGAACCGAGTAAGGATACGAGGTCTCCACGACATGAACCGATCGATCAATATTTTCCTCAGTCGTGTCTCCACCTTCACTGCCGCGCCGACAGTAGTCGAAACGTAGTCCAGTATTTCCGGCTAGAAGGAAAAAGTTGGCCACCTGTACAGTCGCACAGAATCTGATGATCCGCTACCTGAACAGAAAAGGTTCCCTGTTTTGGAAATTTCGCGCTCCAAAACGGGCTCCACAAGGAAGACGACTCAAAATTCAAAGAAATGCAGCAGATGTTGCACTGATCTTGAACGTTCGCCCACACCTGCAAACATAGAGTGGATATATACGAAAGTTGACATGTCGTAAGTTGAAAAATTGTCAGTGTATGATCGAAATTAACATCTCGATCAGTCATGTTGAGCAATACTACATGATATGTGATAATTCGACTGTGTAGCTGTTATGAACATTTGTTTAACATTTCAGTTGGTCAGTCAGTCAGTCAGTCAGTCAGTCAGTCAGTCAGTCAGCAGGTCAGTCAGCAGGTCTGTCAGCAGGTCAGTCAGTAGGTCATTCAGCATGTCAGTCAGTCGGTCAGTCAATCACTGTGCTTATCCTCTCATGTTAATGAGGCAGACGCCAAATCGACACGGTCTTCAACATTCCTGCTTCCGTTCCAGTGTCTAAAATTCTGTGGATGATAACTGAGTCTCCTTTTGATACTGACATAATAAAATAATAGATTATTTTACACATGTTCGTTCAAATGCTGCTTACGTTTTCGTTTGTGATTGCGCATCCGACGTCAAACTGAAGGTGGTAGGCTTTGGAAACGAAGATTACTGTGCCATCGATCGCGTTGAAGAGCATCGGCGTCGGCAAAAAGGCAAGGACGTAAACGGTGTGTGGTCCGTTGATGGGACCCGTGCCGAGAAGCAGGTAGCAGGTAATGTCTAAAGCTTTCAACCAGCACCACAGCAATATGGCGTGGTCCTCCAGATTTCCGTGCAGAATTCGTAAAAACTCCTAATTAGACATGAATGAAAGTCAAAATAGCCATAAATTTAAAAGAATATTTGCTTAAAAGATATGAAAGCGGAAGTTAATTTACATTTCATATCCTAATATCTGAATTACACGAAGAATATGCCCCGTCCCTTGCTTCTAAGTCGCTTAGGGAGACCATTTAAGCAGGACACCGTAGTGCTTCGGATGCAAGACCTCGCCTTTGTAATGCAGTGCACAGGACGTTTTCTCTGACTAGCAAAATTTTCCCCCTCCCTATGCAAATATGTGAACAAAATGAAGTTTAGGCCCAATGCTCTGGAGTAGTTGCCCATTGCAACTTTTAATACCACATTTTAACGTACATCTTAATGGAGGACCATTTAAGCAGACGACGCCTCCACAGTATTTAAGTATACAAATTGTGCATATGAAGTTTCCCGCGAATGGGTTTAATGGCCGCACTCGGCCCTACGCTCCAGTTTGATGATGAAATCAAACTTTCAGAGAATTATGGGAATTTAACGATAATGAACAACGCTCCTAATAATCTATCATGTGCATTTCCGTCTGAAAAACGACGAATTACGAATTACGTACTGGTTCCAATAATACACTGAAGCGCGTTGGATGCATAATCCTGTTGGTAGCCGTGATGGTTTACTAAGAACTTCAGAACGGTCCGCCAATCAAGCTGGGGTACGTAAAATTAAGGATCTTTTAGCGTAATTTAAGGACCATCTAGGGGACGAGCATTCTGATTACCAGCAAGAATGTAGGAATTAAAGTCTTTTGTCCTTCTTGATCGTAGAAGAAAGAATCCTGAAATTCTTTTGGTTTATCGGAAGAGATGTATCACCCCTAAACTAAGAAACGTGGGAAAGAACCTTCACATATGATGTGAGGGAATGAGGAAAAAATTAATATCCTTTCAATTTAAAGGTCAACTCTTGGGCAGTTATCAGTGTCGCTTTTCGATGCGAGGATTAACATTGGCCATTTGCCAATGATCAGTGCAAGAAAATGTAAGGACTACAATCTTTAAAGCTTGTTTTGTAGTTAGGACAGTATCGTTTTGGCGAATACATAATATGAGAAAGCTCAAATATCCTCTACGTGATAAAATATCGTGCCCCCAGATATTGAGGCCCTATCAGGTCATACAAATAGGCTGGTTTGGGATGATGGTCGAAGCCAAAAAGATAATCTCTGTTAAAAATTCTGGCATATTTTTTTGAAAGACGCCACAGGCTTTACAGAACACTATCTCTAACTATATCGTTTGACGGATGGACTGAAATTATTCATTTCTTCAGAATTGTCACAGGCAAGAAATAATAAGTCACTCCTTCGATCCGTTGTTTTTCATCAGTTATGCTGCCTTTTTTAACAGGGTTGGAAGCTCAAAGTATGTTTGACTGAAGTTATGCTGAACACTGGGATTCATAGGTGATTTCGTTCAAGTAATAATCACTCGATTATTCATGGTAACATGCGAATTTGCTAACCATTTGCAAGTTATCAACTGTACCCCCCCCCACGTCCAACCTTATTATACCCAAATCAGTTCTTACATCACTGGTATTCCATATGTAATACACCGCTGTTTCAAAATTGCAGAAACCGATCACTGGAATCAGGGAGACAATGTGGCATGCGAGTTCCTGGAAAATTTGCTCACAGATGAAAGTCAGACTGAGGCATAACACGCGATTTACTGCTGCAGCTGTTTTGTTGCTTTGTAAAGCCATCACTTCGTTGGGCGGTCTGATTGGCCGCAGAAAGCGAGCTGAAAAAACGCGCCTGCCGTCGACGTCCAAAACCAGGGGCGCAAACACTCTGTCCGGAAATGACCGCACCAGCTTGGTCAACCATTTGTCCGCGTATTGCAAAAGGTCGACCTTCTCGAAGCTGTCGAACTAAATTGAAATAACCATGTACCATATCTCACGCACATTGCCATTTTATAAGTTATATCCAAAGCAACTTGGTCGCATCGTATAGTAGACTTATATAAGCCTTTCTTCTAGCATTTTCTATGGTTACCGTAATATCAGTCTGAACTTTAAGAAGTGTACAAAGAATAGACAATTCCAGGAAAGTGTACTGTTGTATGGTTCAGTTTACTGTTTTGTGCAACAGTAATGTCATGACTCAAAGCTGGTAAAGGGACAAAAAA